AACGACTGGAGAATTGTCAACGACTGCAGAGGTAACAACGACTGGAGAAATGTCAACGACTGCAGAGGTAACAACGACTGGAGAAATGTCAACGACTGCAGAGGTAACAACGACTGGAGAAATGTCAACGACTGCAGAGGTGACAACGACTGAAGAAATGTCAGCAACTGCAGAGATGTCAACGACTGAAGAAATGCCAATGCCCATATAGATGGCAGCGAGCGCAGAAATGACAACTGTGGAAAAGATCACCGAAAAAATAACGCGTGATAAGTAATAGGAAGAACATAGTGAAACTAAAACCCGCATCTATTTCGATTATCTTGTAAATTCATTTCTCATGTGTAATTCTCATAGCATGTTTAATATGAAAATATAAATTGCCATTTCAGCCATGATAAAATATTAAAAAACACAAGCTTGCCGAGAAACCGCCACGTAAGCATAGAATTACATTCTAGAAAGCACAACATAATGTCAATTGTAGTCAAATCAACACAACTCGGGTTGTTGTAGAATTCTCTCCAGTACAATCCACGTCTATAGTATATTCCCAATCACACCTACTCATCATCATGCTTACGTATATGCTATTAAATACCTGCATATACGTAATCTTTCGTCTTTTGGCCGAAATTTACTCGCACGATCCGACCGAAGGTAAGTGGTCCAGTGGCCAATGATGACGTAAGCGGTCAGCTATAAACGTCGGTCAGTGACCGAGGGGTTCGCGGAAGTACGGCCCCAAAACAAAGGCGCGTTCGCCTGCGCCTGGACAATGAAGCGTTCTCCATAACAATAGAGACACGTCGTAATCCTACCTGAGGTCGTACTCAGATGGATATATTCTACGAGTTATATAGGATAACCACTCAGGGATAACCGTAGTCGCAGTCAATACTAATTACTATGTCTATAATTTCGTCAGTTATAGATGTGCTGGAATGAGAGAGCGCCACAAAGCAAGTAGATGATGGAACAGATGTTAAACAAAACTATATAGCTATTGATAAATGGTCTGTAAATAGTTACATACAAGCAAGTGTGCAATTTCCCAAACGCGACAAAAATTTCTTCAATTACGATTATATAGATATTGTCATGTGCTGCTAACTAAACCATTTACCTTTTTACGAAACCATAATTTCATAAGCTCTCACTGAGAACTAAAATTGTGAAGATTTGCAGATATACGTGTTTGATTAACTATATGTACATCTAAAAGTGCGTGCGTTCGTGAGTGCGTGCGTACGCGCATACGTGCTAGCCTTATATAAGTTGTTGCTATAATAGATGCCATCATATCTTGTTTAATTGAATAAATACACGATATATAATACTCTCGTCGTTTGGGTATTAATTATGTATTAATTATACGTGGTCAGCAACATCGATTTAGATCGCATCATATTTAGACAAGTTAATCTTGAAGAATTGCTTCACATTAAAATGCCACCTGGCTGTCATAAGGGCGTGTGCAAATAGTAAGAAATTAATAATGTCAACTGTACGCATAAACAGCAAACACTAATCAACAAAAAAAGAAATTTTACAAATGCAAACATTTTCACAATTTTTAAGAATCTAAATATATTTTAACATACCCTAACATTCCCATAGCGTTCGAACACAAATGAGTAATGAATAAGGGCTCGAGAACGAAAATATTGCGTCACGCGTCATGCTCATCACGCATCCAACAGGAGAATAACTACCACGATACACCCTGGTGCTACGAAATGTAGATGTGAGGATGAATAAAATGTTGCCACGTTTCCTATAAATTTCCTTGATAATATTATTATTTGCGTAACTAGAACACTGCTCCTTATTAGTGGGATACGTGATGTGCTGGCTGTATTAGGTAGGCTCTTACCAAGCATATAATTACGATATTTTTAACGTCAGTTAATATTACGAGCAATGATATTGCGAGCCATTACAATAGACTCGTTCATCGGTCACTTTATCAAAACATTGGTGGCAAAGCGCTTCCAGACAATAGCCATTGGTGATTAGAGGTGATATTGCATAAAATATGAATTATTGCATGCGCGCTCTCTCGCCCCCTCCCCCTCTCTCTCTCTATCTCTCTGTCGCTCTAATTA